TGAAGCCAAAGCACTTGATTCAATCCAGCACTTCCTTCCCTTTGCATTGTGCCATTTTCAGTTGTGACTCAGGTTAGAATGGCAAAACTTGCTGCTACAGCGAACAAGTTTGAGGGATGGGAAATGTAAAAAACAAGGTGCCGCCGTAATACAGGCTTATAAAGGGCCACTTGCTTCATACTTGCAGCAAGGAAGAACTGTCTCCAGGTGGAGAAGTTTTCATAGACCAGTTCATTTTCCCTTTGTAACCCCTGATGTTCCGCCATTATTGATGTAGATATTGTGGGCAGGAGATCCAAAGACATGCGTGGCATTCGGTGCAAAGCAGTCGTGCCACACAGCCTGAGATGCTATGCTGAGGCACATGAACCAAGTTGGCTGCAAATATGCGAGCCTCAAGTGGCTTATCATACGCAGTACTAGTGAACTTGTTGAATGAAAGAATCGTGTTGAATCTATCTGGGGTGATGTTCTCCTTCTCATTCCACACTGGGAGCAGCTGCTGAATCTGTGCGGAGAAAAATCAGCCTGGCCAAAGGAAGGGGAATCCATCCTGAATTGGGGGGAAGTTGTAAAGATGTTGTACTGTGGAGATGGGGGTGCTGAGAGCACAGGGAAGGCCCAGTGGGAGAGCACATCTCACATGCAGGAGGCCTCAGGTTCAGCCCCGGCACCTGCAGTCGAAAAGGGCACTGCTCTCCCATGGCTTTCTCAGAGCAACGCATCCAGTTAGGGGGTGCAGATTCCGAGGAGCCATGGAAGCCTCTTTCCTAAAGCATGAGCGTTCTCCTTCTCACCTTAAACGCTTCACATTTAATTCTGAATCTAAAGGTAAGAGAATCACAGTAAGGGATGCACTCCTAGTGAAGGGCGGCTGGCAAGTATGGACACAGGACCCTCAGGACACTTTCGTTAGGGCGCATCGTGAATTGACTCATTTTATTCCCTTCTGGTGGGGGTGGAAACTCAACTTTCTTTCTCATTAAAGGCTCAGTAGATGCACTTTCTGAGGCCTTGCCTCTTCCAAGATGAATCAAATATTTCTTCCACTTTCGAGAACTCATTTGATCCAATGGCTGCAGACACAGGTACTAAATGCAGACCAAGAGTTCTGCAGCACCTTCTTTCTCCATTTTGAAGTCTGTGTGGTGGCCAGGGTCTTGCAAGGAGAAGGACCAGAAAATGATGGAAGCCAAAACTGGGGGACCCCTAAGACTAAATTAAAAGCAGAGGTCTGTATTAGACCACCAGCTTAGTGAAGAAAGCATTTTTTGTTCAAATTAGTGATTGGGAATTTCGCCCTAAATTGTTATACACTTGGCTGTTCCTCGCATGCATATTTTTCCTGCAGCTCTCCCAAAGAACACTGCCTTTTAATTTATCAAGGGACTTATTAATGGCGGTTATTGTGTGCTTGCAGCTCCGTGACTCCTGGGAGGACGTTTGGTGCCCCCTCCCAGGATAAGATTCAACAAAAGCGGCCAGAAGAAGCTTTAATTAAATGTCTGGTTTCAATAGGATTAACTGCCTGATTAATCCTGCCTCTGTCTGCCTGTCAATCATCCCTGTCATTATAATTGTCAGCTATATTGCTGCTAACTATGTGAAAACTCAATCTGGCTGCCCTTTATTTAAATGGGTAATTTCAGATTTATTTATTTTACATTTCTCTGAAAGAAATTTATTTCCCAGCCTCCAGTGTTTGCTACTTCAGCCTGTTTGTGAAGTGCGAGACATGGCTGGGCCCCATGGCGATTCCCTGTTTGGGTGCCGCTGGGGAGGCTGTGACCCCCCCCCCCCCCGTCAGTGGGGCTCCTTATCCACTGCACCTTTCATTTTAAGCTTTACAGGAGCTATCCAGGGTGCTCCAAGATGTCAAGCCTGTTTTTGGGGAGGGAAGCTGTTCAACAGCATGGATATAAAGTTTAATGTACAATCCTATAAAGCTTAATGTAAACATCACAATGAGTAAGGAGCCCCACTGGCACGGCAGTCACCAGCTTCCCCTGGGAACTTTACCTGGCACAAGTCTTACTGAGTTCAGAGAGACTTCTCCAAAGTAAGCACGGAGAAGATTGCACCATTTCTGTACGACCTCACTGAAGTCACAAGTTCTCTGGGCTTTGCAGGCGCCTACTGTCTACGAGAGTAGGGCCAATGCCAACTTATGGGGGAAAGTTCATCAGGGCTTCTCCCTCGCTGTTATGCAAATGACCTCCAGCTGCCGTTAGACACCCCTGACCTCTCACCTTTTGACCAGTGCTGTCTCTCTCAACAACTTGACTGCCATTTCTTTTGAGTGCTCCCGGCACCTGCCAGTGATGGGGATTCCAGCTGCAATCCACTGATCCACTGAAGCAAGAGAGGAGGCAGCTCTGTCACCTGCTCCAGTGGCACCACACCAAGAAACTGCAGGGAGAAGCTACAGCAGCACTCATCATGACAGAAAATGAGTAATATCTATACTACAATGGTTAAAATATTCCATACAATCTATAGTATCTATCTATATCACCAGTGCAGTGAATAATGAGCATGTTCTTTATAGGGAAGGTGATACCGGCATTCAATAACCAGTAAGATACATGTGTACAGTCAGATCTCTGGGTGGCAGCCTGAAGCATCACCCTCAGGTGCATCCGCTCCTGCCTTTCTCTGCCACAGGGTGAGTGACACTATCGCATATCCTCCTCTGAGGCATGCAAGGAAACCCGGTGCTCTCCCACACATGCCCATGGAGAAAAGCAATTTGCATGTGAAGATCCCCGAAGTCAGTGGCGCTACTGTGTGTGGAGAAAATCACACAAAAAAACGGGCCTGTGTTTACTGCATTGCCATCAACACGTGCTTTCTCCACTTGGGCACATGGAACAAAAGAACAGTAGCTACAGACAGAAGAAGAGATTGCAAAGATGCTAGAAAGGATCACAGAGATTTTGCAGACTCTTGGGAGTGGTGATGGGGTGGGGGGAGCGTATTGGCCCCAGATTTTGGGAGCCGTTATTCAAGATGTTCTCCACTGCCCCTCTGGGATCAGTCTGCACCAAGATTTTATTTATTATTTATTTATTAAAACATTTCTATGCCGCCCCTTGCCAAAGCCTCGGGGCGGCTTACAACACAATAAAATACAAAAAAATACAAGAATAACAATATAAGATTAACAATATAAAATAAATAACAATGTAAAAGATGGGCAAACTAGGATGCATGCAGTAGAGCATGAGGTTCCTTCTTGCCCCCCCATTTGGAGACGGCAGGAGAACAGACAGGGAAGAGGAGGAGGAGGAAGGGCAGAGGCAGGGCCATGAGGCCTTCAATGCTTCTCCTCCTGGGGAGTGGTCTTGGCAGGTACCCAACCACGCCGACACCTGGAGCCAGCCACTGCTAGGGAGTGGCTGGCGATGCTTCCAAGGCCGAGCACAGCTCATCTGCCACAAGCTGTGCCCATGGATGGATGCATGGAAAGCAGTTTCGGGCATGCCAAAGATCCCAGGAGACTGTCTCACGACTGCAGCATGTTTATGTGAAGCAAGTCCCACTAAGTTACTTCTGTGGAAGTGTGCATCAGATTGTGGCCTTAGAACCCAACCCTTATTCATGTTTATATGTTATGTTACATTAGTTGTGAAGTCGTGCCATTGCGACTCCATGGACAACATTCCTCCAGGCCTTCCTGTCCTCCACCATCTCCCAGAGTCCACCCAAGCTCACACCGACTGCTTCAGTGACTCCCTCCAGCCACCTCATCCTCTGCTGCCCCCTTCTTCTTTTGCCATCTATTGTTCCCAGCGTTAGGCTCTTCAGGGAGTCCTTCTCATTAGGTGGCCAAAGTATTTGAGTTTCATCTTCAGTATCTGGCCTTCTAAAGAGCAGTCAGGGTTGATCTCCTCTAGGACTGACCGGTTTTATCGCCTTGCAGTCCAAGGGACTCGCAGGAGTCTCCTCCAGCACCACAATTCAAAGGTCTCAGTTCTTTGGCGCTCAGCCTTCCTTATGGTCCAACTTTCACAGCCAAACATTGCAAATGGGAAAACCATAGCCTTGACTATACGAACTATACTAACCTATTCATGTTTAGCTGAATTTATTGAGACTTGCACCTTGCTAAACCTGTTTTGGATACAGTCCGTGGCACTTCATATGCCTGCAGTTGGGCACATTGGTTTTAGTGAGATCAGGCTGTTTATGTGACACACTTCCCTGTGCTAAACTCAGAACGTGCCTTTGGGCATGTGCAGAATCCATTTCTTTTGCTACTGAATAGCTCAAAAGTGCAAGTAGGCTGTTCAGTTGTTCAGTGAGGATGCAGGATTTCCAGTATCCGGCGTGCAAGCTTCTGGGTTGCCTCCCATGTTCATGCATCTGAAACCCCCTTCATCTCAATGGGTCTACTCCACGTAGGACCAACCTTGGTGACAACTGTAAGAGATGGTTCTTTTTCTTTTAGAGAAACGAACCATAGGTGCGCGTGTATAGTTGCTCCACAGCCTAAGCTCTTTGGGAGGTTCACAAGAATGCGTCTGAGCGATGGAAGTGTGTGTGTGTGTGTGCACATACACACTCACTAAATTGGTTCCAAACTTTCTTAATACATGTTCTTTTGTCTCCTCGGTAAAAGTTCCCGCTGCGAGGAGGCAGGCAGGCAGGCAGGCAGAACACGTCCCACGGAACGAAACCCTCTGGAAGGGCCGGAGACGGCAGGAAAAGGCTGCCTGGGGCGGGGCTGGGGGCGCATCTCGCCCGGCCGCGCCGCTCGCCCGCCCGCCCGCTCGCTCGCTCTCCGGCGGTGATTGACGCGCGGAGAGGAGGCGCCTTCTGCTAACAAAAGTCCGCGGCGTCGGGCTCCGGCGCGTGTGCGTTCCGAGAGCAAACCCGGCAACCAGCGGCCGAGGTTCGCCGCCAGGGGGAGGCGGGCCAGCGCGAGGAGCCGCCGGAGAGCGCCCGCGAGGAGCGCTGCCACTCCCCGGCCAGCCTGCAGGAGCGAGCGCCCCCGCTCCCCTTCCGCCCTCCCCGGCGCGGGGCTGCATCCCTGCTCGGTCCGACGTGTGGATTGTATCCGGACCCGATGCCCTCGGGCGCGTCCCGCTTTGCATTCTTGTGCGCGGGGCGCGGCTCGGCGTCCTTTGGGATTCCGGGCGCGGGCGACCCTTCCTTGCGAGGAGCGGCGCCGGGGGCGGGATCCAGCGGGAAGGCAGCGGCGCGGAGGATGTGAAGCCTCGCCAGTAGCCCTTCCCTGCCCGAGCTCTGGGTGCCGCCTTTGTCTCTTCTGCCTCGCCGCCCGGCCCGCAGACCGCGCCGCGGCTCGACATGGTGGGCGCCGGGAGGAGGGCGAGGGCGAGAGCATGAAGGCTGCAGGATGGGCGCGAACAATGGCAAGCAGTGCGGCAGCGACGGTGAGTCCGCCCGGCCCGGCCGCGGGATCGCGCGCACGGCGTCCTGGGATGGCTCCGGGGAGCGCAGCCAGCTGCGCCGGGCGCCGCGCGGGGGGAGCCCGGAGGATTCATTCGCAGGCGCTGCCCGAGCGGCGGGAGCCCCTTCTGCGCCCCCTCCCGCTGCCAGCTCGAGCCCTGTGACGTCGCGGGCCCCTCTCCGGGAGGGTCGGGGCGCCTCCGTGCGAAGTTCAAGGCAGGGCTGCCGTTTCCTTCCGCGGTTTGCGAGGGTCCCTGTCTCCCCCGCCCCGCCCCGCCGCGCCACGCAGTGCAACCCGATCCACAGGCCCGTTCCGCAGCACCGAGCCCCGCTGCGCTCAGAGGAGCGCCTCGCATGGTCTTTGGCTTGGGCTTCACATCGAGGTGGGGCGGGATGCTGCGGTTGCCCGCGGCGCCCTCGCCCGAGCGGTGGTGTGCGGGATGGGGAAGCGGTTGTGGTATAGGGACGATGGGAGTTGTAGTCCGGCACATCCGGGAGGCGTCTGGAAGGTTGGGGAAGGCTGCTGTATAAACATGGAGCTGTTCGCTGTAGCAGGAATGCTGCTTCCCCCCCGGTATATGCCTGGTGTCACGGAGGAGGGTCTGGTGTGCTTGAGGACGAGCGTCCGGTCTGTCCCTCTCCTCGCCCCACTGAGCTCGGAGACAGCGGTGGGCGCGTTGTAGCTTCCTACCCGTTTGGGGACTGACACACCTATCCACCCTAGCCAGCATAGCCGAAGATTGGGATAGAGGGAGCTGTCAGCCGACAACATCTAGAGGGGTGCAGGTCTCTTTTCAGATTAGAGCACGGCAACCTTCCCGCCACAGGCACCATCACACCTGCGGCCTCCGACATGGGTAGCTCATTCCTGCGATAACTTCAGCCATGGGGGACACGTCTTCTTCTGTGCTGTCCACACAGCCAGCTCACTGAACTCCCCCATAATGATTTAATTCATTTATTTTGAAATGTATAAATGTGACCGTGCACACAGTCGAGAAGTGAAGTACTCTTTTTACCGTGGGAGTAAACTACGGCAGTTGGAGGTGCAAATCCATCCATATTTAGCACCTCTCTTTTGTTCCTTTCACTGGCCTTCTCTGAAGTCCCTGTTCCATTTACTGTGCTGCCTATAGCCTGTTGCTCGCCTTGCTCACAGTTACGCTGAGATGTTTTGAGATAAGCAGCCAGCAGGTTGTAGCCCCTTCCTGCCCTTTTTTTCCACCCCCCCCCCCCTTCCCCGTTCTGTGTGGCTCCTGTATGCAAAATATTCTGCAGTCACTGTTGAGTTTCTTGCCAATTAATCGGCTGTGGCCAGCCCGAACTGAGATTGCGACAGGAGCAGTCTGGCAGGAGCTGGGCTTCCCTAATCTAGTCTCATGTGAGTCCTGTTGGCTTCCAGATGTCCTGACAGAGAACTTACATAAGTTCCTGCAATCAGCTGATCACTTGTTGTATACGTATGATTTAAAGAATGCTTCTCTTGTGCTTGTCCTCTGTAAGGGGTTTGATGACAAAAGCCTGTCCTAGGCAAACTGAAGTAATTAGTAGTGCTTATTGTGGAGACTTGAAGCTGATTGCTGGGAGATGCAGGGCAGAGAAAAGAAAGTTCTTCGCACAGCACATAGGCAAATGTGGAATTCCCTTCCCCTGGAAGCAGTGGTGGCCACCCATTTGGGTGTGGGGGGGTGGGGAGCTTCATGGGAATCAGGTTCCCCATGGCTCCCACTGGTCCTGATGCTGCTTTTCTGTGGGCAGCATCCTTGCCGTGCGTGGAAGAATGCTGGACGAGATGGACGCTAGACTTGCTCCAGTGTGGCTCTTCTAATGCTGTTTCTGAAATCTTGGAGAGATGGGTTCCATTGTTTCCCATATGGGAATAATAACCACCACCATCATCTTTTTGCCAAACATCCAAAAATAATCTGGAACAGTTTGGAATGTCCACTCTCGCAGTGTGTCGATGCAGGTGGCTGATGCTTCCGTTGATCAAGGTGCTCTGGACTGTGGCAGGGCCGCTCTTCGTAGTTGCGTGGACGGAAAGCATCTTGAAGGGGGCTGCTACTTCCTGATTTTTCCTGGAAACAAGAGAGTCCCCACCACATTCGAAATAGCACTGTAGATGGTGGACTCAAGAGCTGCTGCTGAAATAATACAAGTAATCTTTTAGAAGGCAACTCAGATATTTGGATACTCTTGAATTAAAGGCAAAACCTTACCTTTAACTTCTCTATCTGCAGTTACTTTGGGCCCATCTGTTCTTGTGTAACTCCTCTTGTCTCTTTCTGCTCCCAACCCCCCCCTCCACTTTTAAGGAAATAAACCCAATCTCTTTCAACAGGGCAGGTTAGAAGGAGGACCAAGCAGTGTATTCAGTACAGAGAAAGCGGTCCACTTCATCAGTGGATGGAAGCTCAGATCCTTCTGTCCTGACACACTATATAAGGGGTGCCACTGATGGATGGTGACACAACAGTGGGGGGAATGTGATGCTCCTAGGCATGCACAAAGGCTATCTTTAACTTCATGTGCTGTGGGATTAATTTAGAGTCTGGGATTGTGCCCCAGCTCAAATTATGTCTTGCTGCCTACCTTGCATTTTTGTGAAGTAAACGGGTCTCATATGACCTATATTAACACAGACACTGAAGAGCCAGTAAAAACGGTTCTTTGCTTTGGGCTTTTGAACAAACACCACATACATTCCTTATAATCCTTTGCAGTTTATTCTTGATATTTCAGGATTCCTGCATTGTGCAGTGTAGTCTAAGACTGCTTCCTGGCTAAATGGCAAGTTTTTCAACCCCAGGGACAAAGCAAGAGAGAGGCAGAGTTTAATGCGCTCCAGCTGTTCTGTATAAATGCTACCTCTGCAATTTCACTCTGCTAAAGCCTTTTTCTGAGCTTGCCTTTAGATGTAAAATGTGGAGGCTTTCCTCGGTCTGACACTGCTCTCCGCAGCACTGTGCTGCGATATTGAGCCTATCTTTGCGCTTTAGCATAAGCAAGGACTGCAATGGCCATATTAATTACCGTATTTTTCGCTCTATAAGACGCACTTTTCCCCCCCTCAAAAGTAAGGGGAAATGTCTGTGTGTCTTATAGAGTGAATGTGTGTGTGCCCAACGCCCGGGATGCTGCCGGTCCTCCTGCACCACGTGGCACCACCTGGCCAGCAGGCGCTCGGTGCGCGCTGCTCCGCCCCCCCCCCCGGCGCAGGTGAGAGCTATGATGCTCGGGGAGCGGTGCAGAGGAGGAGGAGCTGTGGGCTTTAACCCACCAGCCGCACGGAGAGATGGACTGCTCACCCCCACCGCCCGGGAAGACCTGCCGCGGAGGAGGAGGAGCCGCGGGGTTGAACCCGCCGGCCGCACGGAGAGACGGACTGCTCACCCCCACCGCCCGGGAAGACCTGCCACCGCTGCTGCGCCGCCTGGAAGACCACTGCTGGCACGCTGCCACCCGGCTGTACCACACCTGGCCGGCACATGCTCGGCATTCCCTGCTCCGCCCCCCTCCTCCGGCGCAGGTGAGAGCTGTTAATCACAGGTCGGTGTGTGTTTTCAAATGGCAACCCATCTTTTAATGAAGCCCATGGGGAAGTGATGGGGAATGTGCCATCAGGAAGCTTTCCATGGATCCCTCCTCTAAAAACTAGGTGCATCTTATGGTCAAGTGTGTCTTATAGAGCGAAAAATACGGTAAAAGGCACAGGGATGGCTTTGAAAGTCAACAGAAGCAGCTTTAGCTGCAAGCACTGGCCTTCGGGGTTTTTCTTTTACTGCCTGTTTCTATAGTGAATTCATTTTTTCCTGCACTTCTCTCCTTACAGCCCAGAGGCTTAGCATCAGTCTCCTCCACCTCCTCTTCCTCCTCCTATACGCTTCTTCCTCCTCCTCCTTCTCGCACTGAAGGCCAGAAAGCACTTTTCATCCTTCCAGTCTCCCTCCCACTGAAGTCAGTACGCAGGACCAGACTGTTGCTTCACCGCTGAGTCCTGCCTCGTGTTTGGGAACAAGGCTTTCTGCAGAATACAGCACCTGGGCAACTCACCTCACTGCTCCAATCCCTTGCCTTGATTTTCTATATATGTGTATATTGTCTCCTGATGGACTGAAGTAAGGTCACCTGCAATTAGGGTGACAAAATGCAGGGTTGGGGTGGCAGCACTGAAATTGGACATCTTGAAGTTCCAAGAATCCCCACCTGCCTCCAGGAGCAGATAATAGGTTTTGGCTTTGTTTTAATCGCAGGTTCCTGTTTTCTTGGGATGTAGGTGGGCTCTCAATCTAATACGAGCTTGGAGGAAGCCGGGTGAAAACAGAGAAACTTATCATGGTGTTGGGTGGTTGAAGCAGCAAACGCAGCTATTGCATGGAAACATCCTGTGGTATGTGGGGGTTACCAGATCACCTGGCCCAGACCAGAAGAGAGGCTCATTCTTCACTGGAGCGTGTGAGGGAATTTGCAGGGCTTCATTTCATATACCTCACATGAGAGCGGTTGCTTCTGGGACACAGATGCTCACATACCGAACTGAAGGCAGCCAGATCTCAAATTGAAGGCAGCCAGACTTGTGGCAAAGTTCTTGTCAGTTGAACCTTTCTGAATAGATCAGCGTGAGCCCAGATGCAACCTCTGTCAAATGGATTTTAGCAAGCTGTCGAAAATCAAGATCCTTCAGTCACCTGCCGAATGAAAATGCAGAGTGTATGATCCTGGGCAGGCAGGTCTTATTATGGCAGTGTTTGACCCTAAAGCCATACTTTAATTGAGCAGCAAAATAAATGGAGCGAAAGTTCTATTTGGAAGTACAAAGATTCACTAGATGCATTGGCGAGAGAACTGGTTTTAAAAAATAGTGGATGATTAAAGGAAGCATTGTGTCATGGGCATCTCCCAGTTCTTCGGATAATAGGATGGCAAAACTTAAACGAAGAGGAGAGGGGGCAAGTTGGCGCAACCCCAGAGTCCGCCTGGGTGT